AAAATAAATCAATACATACAAAATTTTAGTATGGATTACACATGTTTACTGTTTTTGCTATTGCCTTCCTGCTACATAATCAGACACAAAGCATTGGGGGAAATTAGAGTTGCCGAAAGCAACAGTCTGCAAGGATGTATACCTTCCCAAAAAGTGTGTTTATCTGGGAGGGGTGCTGTTGGATAGATCATGTGTGTTGTGATTCACTGACAGCCTTACCTTCTGCTGTTCAAGATAATGATGACTGGTAGATAATTAGAAATTAACGGTACTGCGTTTTAATTTTAGAAAGTTTTTTAGGAAATTTTAGGCCGCTCTGTCCTTGTCAGGAATGTCAGAGAACGTTAGCCACAGGTGCCTCTGCGCCACCACAGTGGAAGCCATTCCTTTCCCCAGAGCCAGCGCTGCACAGCGGGACACACGCAGAATGAGGTCTGACGCCAGTCTGATCTCGTTCAGCAGGGGTAAAAGGGGGTTTTCCTGCAGCATCTGAGCTGCCAGTTCAGCCAAGGCCATGGCCTGGTAGGTCTGAAGCATGGTGACGGAGCTCAGCGCATGGGCGGTGTTACCTTGGGCTTTGTAGATCTTCTCCAGCTGTGCCGAAGAGAATCTGCAGGGCTTGGAAGGGAGCAGGGTGGGCCTGCTCACACCCTGGTTGTGAGTCGGAGCCAAATAAGTKGCTAAAGATGGCTCCATCGGAGGGATGCTCACCAGGCCTGCTTGATCTGCCCCTTCCACGTCCAAGTACTGACCCTGTCTGGGCACGATGGTCAGCAGTTTGCTCCAGGAAGACGTCAGCTCTGACACAAAGTCCAGAAACATAGACAGACGGTGCTTCACATCAGCCGGTTCAGACGGGAGATAAACCCTGCGAACCTCGACGGCTTTTGAGCAGGTGGGGGGTCAGGCCACTGTACCTCCAGTTTAGCAGCAGCTCGGCAGCACAGGGACAAAAAGGACGAATCCTGGTCTATCTTCACAGCAGCGGGGGTGGAGTGAGCTGGGCATGGCTCCTCGTCGTCGTCGGACAGACTGAGAACCTCCTGCTCCATTTCCAAAACATCGTCCTCCTCCTGGTTTAGATCCAGTAGAAACTGGGTCTCACCCCCCTCGTTGTCAGGTGAGGCCGCCTCGTGCTCCATCTGATCTGCCCAGCTAGCAGCGGGGGCTTTGACCACCGAATCCTCGTTTTCGTCGGATTGAGCCGTCTGGCTGGATTCGGAAAACAGCAGTTTCCTCCAGCATTTTCTCCAGGAATTTCACTGTCCTCTCCAGTGTCGGACGTGAAAGTCCGGCACAGGCCTGGCAGGACTCGGGCTCCACAAGCGCCCGTCGAGCATGAATGATTCCCAGGCAGGCCGGGCAGGCCTCATGCTGGTCCTTCTCATGAAGCTTAAAGCTGCACCCCTGAGGACAGAGGCGAACAGAAGACTTTGGCTTCTTCGAAGGTGGTTTTGTGCTCATGACGAACCACAAAACAGATTTTTAGCAGAAAATAAAGGTCACTTAAGTAGCATGTGCGGCAGACACACAAAACAGCAGTTAACACGGTTAGCACCAGTAAAGCTAGCCTAAGAACCTTTCGGAAGCTGAGCTAACTAACAGCAGCTATGTGAGCTCAGGTTTAGAGGTGACTACCGCGAGGTGAAGGGCGATAGAACTGAGTAATGACACTGGTGACTCCGAACCTATAGGGTGAAGGCGGAGCCTGTCACCCGACGTTCAACGTCACCACKTCACCGGTATAAAGACGTGATTAGCGGTGGCTTCAGCCAGGTGCGTGAGGGCGTGTATGTACCATATACAACTGTGTGTTGYACTGAGTGAAATGACTGAAAAGGAATGAGAATGAAGGAGAAAACAACACTGTAAGTCTCTTATATCTAAACCTTTACAAAGCAGAACATATGAGGAGAAACTTAAAGTGACGTAGTTTGGACTGAATAAGTCGGAAATAATACAAATTGAGCAAGACCGTGGTGTGGTTAGACTGTGTTGGTGTTACCTTTATTTTTGAGCAGCATGTAAAATAAATAATGGTGAACACAACTTAATATAATATAAATATATTTTCATGGTTCTATTTAGTTTTGTTTTTTTTTGTAAGTTACTTTGAATTTATCCTTGAAAAGGGGCAGATATTAGCAGTGGTGTATAA